CTATCTATCTATCTATCTATCTATCTATCTATCTGTGTTTTTTGACCACTAGAGGGCGCTCTAAGCTGCTTTAACGCCTGGAAGTTCTGCTTCTTTAAAACCAGTTTGATCCATTATTTATGCAAAAAATCCAAATAATGTTGCAGTAAAATTAGAACAAATACTTCAAAGTGTTTCCTCACAACATGTCATCATAATTTTCGTGGGTTAGTTTAGGTGTAAACTGTATTTCTGGGAGGGGTTACTGAAGTTTTAAGGACAAACTTGGGTGTCAGAATACAAATTATAAATAAATAAGTCTCTAAGACTGTAATTAAAGCAACACTTCACCATGTCAACAAATCATATAATGTAAAGTTTGTGAATGTCTGCCAACAACTATGTGTTTATTTACCAACAAAAACAACTAAAACGACTGAAAACTGGTCAGAAATGTCCTCAGAAGACTTGTTTGAAACAAAGACTTCAGACAGATGTGATGTATTAAATGTATTAAATGTATTAAATGTATTAAATGAGCTTCTGACAAAAACTGAAAACTATGACAAGTTGGTTTAATAAGTAAAATAATAATAATCAATACAAACATGGTCTTTTTTAAATGAACTTGTTTTTAAATGAACCAACTCATGAATGGAGATGCAGAGAGGATCATTTCACCACATGTTMCAGGGACAGATCAGATTTATTGTTGCTCATTTACCTTTTTTCTTTCAGCTGTAAACACCTTTCTGACAGGTGTTGATCTCAAACTGGACTTCTGTTGAACATTAATACTTTGAAAAGCATCTAAATGTGCTAAATTTTCTGTTAATACCAAATTATTCTAGTAAAAACGTGAATAATTAAGCAAAAACGACTTGCTTCTAATAAAACACCTGCTGTTAACCCATTAAATAAGGTTGTTGTGTATTATTTACACACAAACAGATTGTTTTATCCTAGTTATGAGCCAGGTAGATTTTGTGTGTTTGTACAAATTTTACTTGGTAGTAAAGATGGAAAACATTTGGTTGTTTTAGTTGTAAAGGTCACAGAAACCTGTTTTAAGGAGCTATAATTAAAAAAAGTCATTAAATTTTTATAATTTTAGTTTTAGGATGAGTTGGTTTTAAAAAGTTAACTAGTTTATAATGGGGAAAACATCTTTAAAAATAATGTTTTATTGTAAGATTCTTTATTTCCGTCCAGAAACAGTTTTTATGAAAACATTCAGGAATAATTTGATGCTAAAAGTGCAGTTTTATGGGAAGGGGGCGGCGCTTATCCCTGAGCCCGCCCCTCCTTCGTTCTGATTGGCTCTGATCCCACCGCGCAGCTCGGTTTCCTGTTGGCTGTCGGGGCTGCCAATCACAGCGGACATCCTCTCCTCATGCTGCCTCCGCGCCGCTCTTCATCTCCAGTCGCTGCGTGGAGACACTCCTGGCTTCACGGAGCGTGGAAACCATCACGGCGCGCGCCTCCGAAACCCTGCCCGGCTCGCGCGCACACACACACACGCGCACGCGCAGCGCCTCGGTGAGAGCCGGAGCCCCGCGTGAGAACATTTTGGATGTCAGGAGAGGAGGAGGTGGTCGGTGGTCTTCGTCTCTTTCTGTGATTCACCGGAGACATGTGGAGCAGGACCAGCCTCCTCCCGCCGCTCCGCCTGCTGCTGCTGCTGCTGCTGGGCGCCGAGGTAACGAGCTAATTCTCCTCATTTAAAGCTTTTTCTCCATTTCAAGCTAATTCCTCCTCCTCCTCCTCCTCCTCCTCCTTCTCCTCCTCCTGAGAACCTGCTGCAGATGGAGGCAGCGCGTCAATTAATCGATTAATTGCTGGTTCCGGTCTTTTCCTGGTTAAACTCGGTGTTTGTGACTGGGCTGGAAGCTCAGGCCTACACGGCTCTGAGAGAAAAACATCAATAATGAATGAAGCTGCAGGAGGTCCACCTGAGTGCTGCAGCCAGAGGTGGGCTCACAGGTGGGCGCACAGGTGGGCCTGATTGGACAGGTGTGGCTCCACTCAGCAAACTGCACATGAAAAATACAAGTTTTGTTTGTTAACCTGAAACTTTTCAGCTGCAGAYCTGTCCCATTGTTTCTGTTGTTTCTAACTTTCAACAGTTTTAAATAAAATTAACTGAATTCTGCTGAAAAAAAAAATTAAAAATTCAGCAAATCTTATGAAGTAAAACACGTCTTTAAGATATGTGGACGTGTTTTAACTAATTATTGTTTTATATTAGAAATAAACAACTTGTTTCAGGGGCGGAGCTAGAAGTTTATGTTCAGGGGGCCCAAGGCTTGTTTTAGGGGGGCCACAAAAAATCTGCTTGTCAGACCAGGGGTGGTCCATCCTGGTCCTCGTGGGCCACAGCCCGACACGTTTCACATGTTTCCTGCTCCAACACACCTGATTCACTGAACTACCTCTTCATGTTCTGCAGTACGGAGCACCAACACTGACATGAAATAGATAAATGAACCTTTAAATTAAATTAACTTTAAACATTTAAAATGAACCAAATAAATTAAAAAGGAGAACTTTACCTCACGTTTTATAATTTAATTAACCTTCATATTTATTTTTCCAGCTTAGTTCTAATAAATTATATATTTTAACACAGAACTTAAATTTTAATGTTTTTTTTTACTAAATATTTAACATATTTTACTTGTACATGCTTTTGTGTCTCTTGAATGCTTAAATTGAATTGTTTTTATAATTTTGTCCAAGTCTTATGTTACATGTTTGTTCTGCTGCAGTTTAGTTTAAAGTTTAGTTAAAATAAATGCACAGGTGATGTTTTTGCCTTTGTTTTAAAACTAAACTTTAAAC